ATCATCTCGTCGATAACACCGTACCGTCATCCGGAGATTCGCCGCCATCGCCGGATCTCCATTTTTGTTCGTCTCCCATGGCCGGAATAGGCAATAAAGTCTTGGCATCTCCAACCTCTCCATCACGGTGCTGCCGAAGTCGCTCGCATCAAATTTCGCCTCTGCCCCTCTATACCCCCCTTCGAGATAACCTTCTTCCAGAGTTCAGCTCGACGGGTCATCGATCGCCGTTCGTTGGTGTGTACTTTATCGGTTGCTCCCGAAATTCGTTCATGGGGGGATTGCGAGCTCCCAAAAAGCAACAGTGTATATGCTTAATCCTTAGACTCTCTGGATTGCCTGCCGCCTCTTCGAGGTTCATGCCGAACATTCTCGCAATCGATCCACTGATACGATGGTATAGGAACTCTAACCTAGTCGTATAGGTCACATGCCGGCCACATAACGGCTGGCTTCCTTTGCTCAAGTGAGAAGAGCGAATGATTCAGACATCTGCAGAGCTCAGGGAGTCCATGGGCCAATATTTCATCTGCCGAACCGAATCACGTCCCAGCGTCTACTACCTCGAAGAAGCGCTGTCTTTGTGGTAGGACTCGGCGAATACGGCCCAGACGCAATACATACGATCACTTGCTTTCACCGCCGTTTCCCCTGGATCGAATACTATGCTCTTGACTCCTGACACGCCCGCAACCCGTACACCTGCAGCAGACCATCTAAGCAACCTCTTGGGTTTCTCCGTCACAATATCCTAATGCGAAGCAGTCACTATCACAGGATAGTCAGGTCCACAAACAAAATTTCCGTGTGCTCTCATCACGGCCTTCGGCCACCAACAAGTCTTGGTCCGTGTGTTCCGGCCATAACCATCGACTTGGCGGATTCTCGGCCTCGGGCCATGATCGTTCACCGAGATATCCCGCCCCGTGCTCCATGGTCTTGGCACAACTGCACCCCGCTTGCTCTATGCTCTTTTCTCTAATTTTGACTTTACGGGAGCATCCGCACGAGCCGCATGAGTCAAATACGAATTGAAAATCGACAGCTTTTTTACTTTTTTGCCCTTCGTAAGCGGCATGGGTGTTAGACAACTGCGGTTTACGAGAGTTGCGAGGAGCCCGTGATAGCACGAGCTGGCCAAGCTAATGGCCTCTCCGTCCGATTTTTCTGCTATTCATCGAAATGAGCGGCAGGGAATGCAATACGACGACGCTATAACAAATCGCATTGAATATTACGAAGAACGGATCCAGCCACTTCTCCGATATGCCGACATAGAGACTAGAGAGGGAGCGAGGCCTCGCGCTAGCAGCTGACCCAAGGATCGGGCGGCTACGGTGGATTAGACAACCATTCCAAAACTCCAAGGCTCGAAAATCAAAAATGCGCATCTGAAGTATGGACTGCCACCTTCAATTTGCCACCGGCCTCGTCTCTTGCTTTGGTGCTTGGATGGTACTTCGGTCTTGCCCCGCTATCGTCGGTTGTCAAAGCTGGATAGGCGAGTTTCTGGAGGACCCCTCCATTTTCATCCGCGGTTCCCGCCATGCAGACAACCTTTTTTCTGCCAAGAAACGCAGGAACTCACACCGGAAACTGACAGTTGACAGTTTCTCACGATAGCAACATGCTGGCTACTGCTCCCAAACAAGGTTGGCTATCCGGTGTGTACACGCGTCTATACGTCCAGGGCAAGACTCGATATTCGACATGCTTTTCGAGGGGGGCAGCTGAAAAGGGCGGGAAGAGGGGTGCTGAGGATGATCCGGACCAGGCCAAAAGGAATAGACTTGTACAGCGCCCTCGGCCTGACGGGATGGCGGGACCGCCCGCAAGAGCTCTTAGCAGGGGATATGATGCATCTTGAGCTGAGGGCTGCTCAAATTCGACATCGCGATGGCCGATCACCAAAGGCTGAAAGATTTGGGACGGTGTCGTCTTACACCATTCTTTTCCTACACCCCTCGCGTTCGTTCCCCTGGCGGAGACACGCAGGCGTCAGAACAATATTTGGACAAACGCGTTTTCAGGGCGTGGCTCTTCATCTAAGGCTAAGCGGGCCGAGTAGATGCCCATATCAGTATCTGTACGCCACACCTATTGTTGTCCCCTGCCCGGTAAGTACAGACTGACATAATATGACATTTGACAGGCCTGATTCCAAAACAACGGTCAAATGAAAACAGATGAAAGCCGAGAAGGGGTTACATATTTCCGCTGCAGACTCTTGAGGGGCGTCAGCTTACAGACTGTAGACAACGGCGTTAACAAGAAAGTCCAGGAACAGGAACAAGGGAGCCCACGTCTGGTTCGGTTCATCGCGGCAGTGTCTGCAGGTATGCTTGTAGCTTGACTGGATATATTGAATCCACAAGGCAAGGGTAAGAAGTCTGACAAAGATTGCGCCTTACACGATGACAAGCTGCGAAAAACCATTTCAAGCGGTCCAATGGGGATATGTCGAACAAGGGCTTCCGACAACGACGTCCGGAGCCTTGGGCAGAAAACCTGACGACTTCCAGCTCCTTGGAAAGTGGAAATCGAAACCCACGTTGACACGCCTCGGTTCTGTCTGCCTATCTACCAAACTGCCATGGTTCTCGCGTAAATACTCGCAGGGTACTCCACTCTGAAAGGCGAACAAACTCGAGAGGGCAGAAAAACTTCCAAGCAGTCCGCAGATAGGCAACGGGACCTGAATAGGTAATGCTTCTCCGGTGTCAAACTAGGGTGGACAGAGAGGTAATGCACATGCAACATGCAGAAGCACTAAATTATCGGTTTTCTGTGTCCGCGTGACTATCCGTACCTCTCACAGCCCGTCCCCAACGCAAGGCTGCAGCCTGGATAGCCGACAAACAAAACTAACAGAAACCCATACAACCCATGCATCGCTTGACGCTTGAAAATAGGGCTTGAGACGCTACTTCATCATCCATGCCGGGTAAAGATAGATTATCTTTATCAAAATGCCCTGTATCCAGAACCCTTGGATAGAAAACAAGCCTTTTTCATTTTTTGACCTTGTCGGCCCTGGCGGCAGCAACCGAGGCGGGGGGGACGCGTATGTAGTTTAAATGAGTTGAACGAGGCACGAGACCCAACGATAACAACCGAATCATCCGTAAACGAGGGACCAGTCAGCGCTTGAACTGTGTGAGTTTCATCGAGAAGTGTTTATCGGCTTTTGAGGGTTTTCATTGCCTGGGATTTACGAGATCTTGGGAAGTCCTGCGAGCCGAGATGCATCTTCATCAATGATCGAGGCAGTGAGGCCCAACATGGCACACACACATATACGCGCATACACAACCTTGACACAGCTCACGCAGGCGCACATACACACAAACTTTCTGTATCTATCTGTCTTCTTACAATTCTCACCCTCGAGCGCCTACGTGCCTCAGAGAAGCGTCAAGCATACGCAGCCAGTGGGTGACGGGCGCTTAACTCCAAGCGTTCCTGCCGCCTAAAATATAGGCAAGAGAAGCCAGCCAGAGAGAGAGAGAGAGAGATGAGAGCGAGAAAGAGGAGAGGAGAGTACGGTTACACAGTAAAGAGATAGAACCTTGAAGGCTTGAACCGGCGGTCAATGGACGTCGTTCTGCTGGGGAAACCCCACATCCCGGGACATGTTGCCCGCGGACCGCCCTTCCCCGGGGGTTAAGAAACATAAGGTGAGGTAAGGTAAGGTAAGCACCTCCCGTGCCACATGACTGGGGTGGCCGGCGCGTGCAGAAACAAAACGGAGGTAAGTTTGGATCAAGTACTTTTAGCCAACCGACCTTCTTGAAATGGACTAAACATCTCCGTCACCAGATCTTGTTTTTTTCTTGATTTTGCTTTCTTGCTATTGTTGTGTGGTTGGTCTTTGGAGGAAAAGATCGTCAGGAACTACTAGAACTAAGGGAAGGGGGAAGGGGGAAGGGGGAGGGAAAGGCAAGGGGGAGGTGGGAAAAGAGTGCCGCTAGCGGGCCGTTCGGGCTGGCGGGGGTAGGTACGGGCGGGGAGGGACTGGGCCCCACAATCCGGGAGGCGCGCCCTCCGTGTCCGGGTCTTTTGGACTGGAACTTTACGGAGTATCGCAGGCAGGAAGGTAGATTGCGGAGGGCAGAGAAGATAAGGCTGGGAATCATGGCGAAGAGTAGACTGCAGTAACATCAAGAGTTTCACATGCGAAAAAAGAGTCGCTCGAGGTTGAAGAGAGAAGAGATAGGCATACATTTTACAAAGGACACTACTGAGGAACGCGGGGCGGAAACCCACAATCCGGATCCCGAGCCTATCAACCCCTGAGCACTAGGTATCACATCCGCGGCGTGAATACAGAGGGAGACACCTGAACATTGAATCGAAAACTGTCAAGATGGCTCATCTGAACAAGGTTCAATAGTTTCGATTACCTCTATTGTAATTCAAATTGACTTCTTTAGTAAGATGCAACACCAGAGAACATTTCCTCGCCGGGGGGATCGGGGCGGGACATCGCGACCTCACTCGGCCGAGACATTTGCCCAGCCAGGTCACGAGAGAAACCCACGAGAACGGTGAACCCACATCCCGCTTGCGCGCCAACGGACTCAAGACGGAAATATCACGCAGAAAGTCCGACGGGCGGATTCACGATAGGACAATTTCCACCGAACATCTCGCCATCCGTCTCATTCGCGACTCTTGTCGTTTTCTCAGCATGTTATTATTGAGGCACATTTCAAAGATATTGACTACACCGTTTCCAGTGTGAATTCAAGAAAGCTCATCAGACATTTAATATTCAGTTCTCAAATACATTAATCATGAAACGATTAACCATTAGAAAAAATGGAATTCATCGTCAAGATCATCAAGACATCATCCAGCCATTCTCAGTGAACGCCTCCCAAATAACCAAGAAATCTCAAAAGAAAAAAAAAATCATGACACTCTAATACCGTTCCCGTGAAACATATGGTCCGCGTACACTCATCGTCGTAGAATCATTACACGCACATCCCAAGTCATTAGTTGAAGAGACGCTTGAACACGCCCTTGATCCCTTTTGACTTCTCCTTCTCTTTAGCCTTGTCGTCCTCCCTCCTCCTGTCTTCCACACGAGCGCGGCGCCGAGAGTCGTCCGAGTGCTTTGATCTCGGCTTGTCGGCTGTCTCAGCTCTCTCAGCCCTCTCAGGTCTCTCGGATCTCTCGGGTCTCTCGAGTCTATCAACCCTCTCGCCCCTCTCGGTTCTCTCATGCCTTTCGGCCCTTTCAGCTGCTTTTGCGGCAGCCCGTTCGGCCTTCTCCGCAGCCCTGCGAGCGTCTCTGCGAGCTTCTTCGGCGACCTCGTCGCGAACCTTTTGCAGTTTGGCACCGCCTCCGCCTTCGGATCTGTCTCTGTGCCTGTGCTTGTCCCGCGTTGTGCTCGATCGCTTGGGAGTGTCGCGTGTGGGAGTAGACTCTTGTCGTCCTGCATTGTCATCCATTGGCATGTCGTCCTTTGGCGTGGCTGGCGCCGGGGGGTCCTGGGGAGGGAACTTGGATCCGGTCGTACCTTCGCCTCTGACGCTGAAGAATCGCCGGGGCTTCTCTGGCGCAGGCTCCATGGATTCTCTCTTGCTGAGTGTGCGGTGCGGGCGCTGATGCTCTGACGTGCTGTGGCGACGAGAGCGGTGATGACTGCGCTCGGGCGTATCCTCAGATTTGGCGATAGTCTCGGGCTCCTTGCCCTTGCGACGCGAACGCTCTCTTTCCTCGTTCTCGCGGTTGACCTCACGTTGGAGTTCGCGCTCGCGCTCCTTTTCGCGGTGCCTGTCTTTCGGTCTGTCACGATCGGCATCGCGTTCGCGCTCTTTCTCCCGGAGTCGCCGCTCCTCTTTGCGCCGATCATGGGCAGCCTGCTCCTCAGGCGTACGCTCACTGCGGTGGTGGTGGTGGTGGCTTCTCTCACTTTTCTCGGTCTTCTCGCTCCGTTCGCTTCGCCCACTCCGCTCGCTACGTTCGCTGCGATGACGGGACTGGGAATGTGGATGGGGGCTCTCTTCGAAACCGCTGTCTTGTCTCTTGATAGGGCCTGGCGGAGTTCGAGGCACGGATTCGCCGGATCGGAGAGATCGCTCGCTGTCAGTTCGGTTTCGTCGACTTGAGTGATGTGATGTGTGCGAGTGGCGTCTGCTACTCTCGTGGTCTCTGCTGTCGTCTTCGCCTCGGCTACGGCTTGAGAATGATGAAGGATGATGGGTTGAGGAATGGCGTCGTCGTCGGTGCCTCTCGCGCTCTGCTTCCTTCTTCTCTGTAAAGTAGTTAGTATCAAGCCTGCTAGTTTTATCCGCTCCCGTAGTGGTAGTACTCCTGCGTCTGGAAAGAAGGCCTGGTAGAACCCTCCAAAAAAAGGCCTTTTTCGGTTTGATGTCCATTTTCTCCCAGCTGGGCATTGCCTTGATGAGTTGCGAGCTGCTCTGAGATGATGGGCTCATGGGTGGACGAAGAGTTTCGGCTGTGGCGTAGATGACCACAGCAGCCGCGATGAGTTCCTCCGCTTGCTTGATGGAAACCTTGCGCTGCCGTCTGAGAGCCTTCGCCCTATCCTTGGCGGCCGGTGACATGGAAAGCTCAGGGAGAACCACGGCGGGAGTCGAGGGCCGGAGGCCCCATACTGAGCCATCGGTTTGCGTTCCGCAGTCCGAGAATCCGTCTCGATGCACGGGGCTGAAGTTGGCGTCCACGTCCGAGTCCTTTTGGTCCGCCATGGTGATTGTGTCCAGGGCCGATATATTATCCAAAGTCTGCGTCAATTTGTCCGATGAGCTGCGACGTGACATTGCGTCTGCTGCAGCGGGACCTGGAGCTTCTCTAGCCGTAGCTTCGTCGTCTGAGTCTTTGATAGCATTGGCAGCAAACGAGCCAGCTGCAGCAGCAACACCAGCGACGGCGGCTCCAGCAATGAGTGCGTCCTTATCAATTGTCTCGTCGCTATCAGCAGGCTCCGCCTTGTCATCCGGTGTCTGTACTGTTTCTTCGGGCCCATTGGCGTTCGCCTCTAGAGTTGATGCCTCCTCAGTTGCGTCGGGCTCTGCGGGTTCTCCTGCAGGAGCGTCTTCAGGAGTGTCATCGGGGTTGACGGGAGCTTCTGAGGCGGGTTCTTCGGAGGCTGCCGGTGTATCTTCGGGTGCGTCCTCAACCTCTATAGGCGCGGCATCCGCCGCCTCAGGAGAAGGCTCCTCGGAGACAGGTTCTTCAGAGACGGTTTCATCAAGAGCAGCAACCTCGGGAGCAGGCTCTTCGGGAACAGCTTCTTCAGGGGCGACTTCTTCAGAGACAACCTCCTCAGGCGCAGCTTCGGGAGTGGGCTCTTCAGGGGTAAGCTCCTCAGGAGTAGACTCGGAAGTGATTTCTTCGGGCTCGGTAATGACTTCATCAGGAGCAGCTACTTCGGGGGCAGGCTCTGCGGAGGCGACCTCTTCGGGGACGGCTTCCTCAGGAACGGCTTCTTCGGGAGAAGTCGCTTCAGAGGCAGGCCCCTCTGGAGAAGGCTCCTCAGAAACGGCGTCCTCAGGAGGTATTTCGGCTGCTGGGGAGTCTTCTGGCGCGGCTTCTGGAGTAGCTTCACCCAGAGTCGCCTCCTCGGGGGCAGGCTCTGCTGGTGCAGGCTCAGGTGTCGACTCTTCAGGAGAGGCATCCTCCATGGTGGGCTCTTCGGAGACGACTTCTGGTGCAGGCTCAGCAGCGGGCTCATCGGCGGGCTCAGCGACGGACTCCTCTAAGATGGTCTCTGCGGGTGCAGATTCAGCTGGAGTCCCTGGTGCTTGGTCTGGCTCTTCTGGTGGAGCTTCCTCAGCCGCTGGCTCTTCGGGCACTGCATCTGCTGGAACCACTTCGGAAGCGGCGGCGATCTCTGTGGATGCATCTTCGACTTGCTCGGGCTTCTCTGCTATTGTCTCGGGAGCAGTCTCAGATGCAGGAGCCTCCTCAAGAGGCGGCCCCTCCACGGCCGATTCTTCTACTGTAGATACAGGCTCTTCGGGTGAAGCTTCTTCTGGAGTAGGTTCCTCAGCGACTGCATCCTCTGGCGGAGACTCAGTTAAGATGGTCTCTTCGGAAGCAGGTTCGGCTGGAGCTGTCTCTTCTGCGGGAGCTGATTCGTCCGATGCTGGTTCAGTGGGTTCAGCCTCGACAGTGGTGTCTTCGAGGGCTGGTTCCTCCAAAGGCTGCTCAGTGGACGTTTCGTCTGCGGCGACTTCAGCATTGTCTTGATCTGGTGATTCAGTCTCTTCGACAGAAGGCTCCTCGACAGATGGTGGTGACGCTTCATCAGTGGCAGATGGTAGCTCGTCCGAGGGTGGTAGGGCAGCTTCCTCAACAGCAGGCTCTTCGCCGACCGCATCTTGGCTCTCCTGAACCTCGGCAGTTGGCTCTTCCGGGGCGTCTCCTTCGGCAGCTTCGGCAGGCATCACTTTCTCGTTCTCGTCGACAGGTTCCATGGATTCCGGCTCCGGGGCGTTGTCCTCGGCAGGCTCCGCGACGGGTTCCGGGTCGACGTCCTCGGGATCTTGGCCATCCCGTCCTTCCCGTGCCTCTCCATCGGGGGAATCGGGATTAGGAGAAGGAGGGGAATTCTCACCTGATTTCTCTGCCTCTCTCGCATCAGAGGCAATTGGTCCCACCCTATCCTTGCTTTCCTCAGCATCCAAAGACCGCGTCTGTTCACCATCTGCTGCCACCGCCACCGCCGCTCCCGTGGCTACTGCTGCCGCCGCCACTGCAGCCGCTGCGATTTCTGCAGTGTGATCTTCTGTTTCAGCCGTTGCGGGTGCCTCGACATCTGCCTCGACAGATGGCTCTGGCTCGACAGGGACAGGTTCTTCGACTGGTGGGTCCGGTTCAGCAGCAGCCGCATCTTCAACTGCAGCAGACTCAACAGCTGCTTCAGCAGGCTCCTCTGGCTCAGCTGGTGCTTCTGGCTCAGCCGGAGCCTCTGGTTCAGCGGGAACAGGCTCCTCAACTGGCGCAGATTCTTCAACAGCAGCTTCTGCAGCAGCTTCCGGCTCCGCGGGCGCTTCTGTATCAACAGGTGCAGGTTCTTCAGCGGGAGCAGGCTCCTCAGCCACCGCTGGTTCCTCAGTTGATACGGGTTCTTCCGCTGGTGCAGACTCTTCTGCCGGGGCAGAAGCTTCAACAGCTGCTGCTTCATCAAGCTTCTCTGGCTCAGCGGACGCTTCTGGTTCAGCGGACGCTTCTGGTTCAGTGGGCGCTTCTGGCTCAACTGGTGCCTCTGGCTCAGCTGGTGCCTCTGGCTCAACTGGTGCCTCTGGCTCAACTGGTGCCTCTGGCTCGACTGACGCAGGCGCAGGTGCAGAATCTTCTGTCGATGCAGGTTCCTCAGCAGGCGTAGGCTCTTCAACCGTTTCAGCCGCGGCATCTCCATCGGGGACCACAGTCTCCTGAGCAGGCTCAGCTTCCGGTGCTGGCGTTTCCTCAACTGCGGCAGCGTGATTCGCCTCCGCGAGAGCTCCGGCGAGTTCAGGCTCCTTTGTCTCTTCCGCAGCTGGCTCAGACACCGGTTCGGGCTCCGCCTCGGCAGGTTCCTCCACCGCAGCGGGCGGATTGGGTTGAGCCTCTTCGGTTTCAGGAGCGGCCTCAATTGGGACGGCAGGCGGCTCAGCGGCAGCATCCTTCGCCTCCTCGACAACCTCGGTCTGGGGCTCAGGGTCGTTGACTTCTGCTGCGGCAACTTCTACAGCAGCGGTTTCGGGTTCTTTGGCCTCTTCGGTCGCTGCTGGCGCCTCCGGCTCTGGAACCGCGTCGGTAATATCAGCAGTTTCTTCAGCCGGAGCAGCATCGGCCGAAGTAGGTTCCGATTCAGGTTCAAGGTCATTTGACTCAGGAGCAGGAGCAGGATCAACGGCGTCTGCAGCAGGCTCCGCCTCTGTAGTAGATTCCGCCTCAGCCGCGGGCTCTGCTTCTTTGGCTTCTGCCACTTCGACCTCAGCTTCAGTTGCTTCAGCTTCTTCGGCAGGGGGAGCAGGGGCAGACTCGAGTTCCTCAGCCACTGCCTCAGCAGGGAGTTCAGGTGCGGGCTCTTGAGTTTCGATAGCCGCTTCCGCTTCAGGAGCAGCGGCGGGCTCAGCAGCGACCTCAACCTCAGAAACAGCCTCAGTCGCAGGAGCGGCATCAGGCTCAGCCGCAGCCTCACCCTCAGGTTCCTTGACGTCTGCTTCAGTCACAGCATCAGTCTCGGATTCTGCCTCTTTTACATCAGAAGATGGCTCAGCTTCCGCAGCGGATTCCGCCGCAGGCTCGGTAGCAGGCTCAGCGGCAGGCTCTTTGACTTCATCGGCCACAGTCTCCGGAACAGGCGCTGCCTCCTCTAGCTCAGCAACAGCGGGCACGTCGGCCTCGGGCTCGTCTTTAGATTTGGCGGCAGGATCTGCTTCAGCAGCGGGTTCAGCTTCAGCAGCGGGTTCAGCTTCGGCAGCGGGTTCAGCTTCAGCAGCGGGTTCAGCTTCAGCAGCGGGTTCAGCTTCGGGGATAGGCTCAGCAGCAGGATCGACCTCCTTCGCCTCAGAAGAAGCTTCAGGGACAGCTTCTGCTTCGGGCTCCTTGGTCTCCTCGGCCTCAGACGCTGCCTCAGCTGGTGCCGTCTCCCCTTCAGGCTCTGCTGCTGGCGCTTCAGGCTCAGGATCCTTAATCTCAGCATCACCCTCGACCTTGGCGGCTGGTTCGTTGTCATCCGCGGGAGCAGCTGCTTCGGGCGCAGGCTCCGCGACCTCAGCCGCGGCGGAGTCTTCAGGTTGAACCTCAGGTTCGGGAGTAGCAGCAGCAGCAGCAGCAGCAGCAGCATCAGCATCAGGAGGCGCCTCACCAGCATCTTCGGCCGTCTCTGCAGCCGTCTCCGGAATTGGTTCTTCAGGGGCAGGAGCAGAGGTCTCGGTGGCGGCCTCGGCCTCGGGCTCTGGAGCTTCCACAGTTGACGGCTCTGGTTCTTGTGCATCTGGAGTCGTCTCCGGTTCGAGCTCCTTGGCATCTGGGGCCGGGTCCGCACATGGGACTTCGTCGTTAGTCTCGGGAGTCGACTCCGGTTCTGCCTTAGCCGCCGGCTCCGGCTTGGGATCCTCAGCAGCGGCAGGTGCCTCTAGCTCCACAACTGCAGTCTCCGCGGTGGTCTCGGGCTCAGGTGCGGTTTCCGTCTCGGCAGCTTCGGCTTTGGGCTCCTCAGGATTGGTTTCGGGCTCAGCAGCATCGGCGGGCGGTTCGGCTGGGGTCTCCTCAGGAGCTTTTAGCTCGGCGTCCACTTCGGCAACGGCGGTAATCGGCTCCTCCGGGGCGGGATCGGAAATTGCCTCTTCAGCTTTGGCATCTTCGGGCGTGGCTTCGGCTTCAGCGGCAGGTTCTGTTTCTTCTTTAGTATCCTTGGTCCCTGGGGAGAGAATTTCCACGGTGAAACTAAATTCTTTGCCGTCGCTGATGATTTCGTATCCGTCCATACCTTCAGTTGAGACAGCTGCGTCATCCGTGGCGGCGGCATCCCTAGATGCATCAGCGGCAGCAGCGTCTGCGGTTTCGATATCGGCTTCCTTAGGGGCTTCTGGAGCGTCCGCTGGGGTATCCTCTGGCGTGGCAGCAGCTTCGTCCTCTTTCGGTGCCTCTGACTCGGCTGCAGCTGGCTCAGCTTCCACTGGTGTAGTCTCAGGAGCAGTGTTAGGCTCAACAACAGCCTCAATTTCGGCGGCCTTGGTAGCATCAGCTTCAACTGCAGCTGTCGCTGCCTCGGTTTCGGCCTCCGGAGCAGCCTCCGGAGCAACCTCGGGAGTGACTTCGGGAGCATCCTTAGGAGAAGTCTCGGGAACGACCTCAGCAGTGCTCTCAGAAGCGTCTTCAGGGGCCGCGTCAATAGGAGCCTCAACCTCTGCCGCAGCTTCCGCAGCAGGCTTCTCCGTAGCTTCAACCTCAGGAACCGCGGCAGGCTCATCTACGGCAGCATCATCTGCCGCAGCTTCCACTGCTGCCTCTTTAAGGGCATCACCTTCAGCCTCGACTGGCTCAGAAGCCTCTGGTTCAACGCTTGCAACGCCATCTTCTTCGTCCTCGGGAGCCTCCGCCTCAGGTTCTGCAGGAGGGACGTCCTCTTCCTTGGGAGCAGGAGATTCCTCCTCCTGCACAGGTTCTGACTCAGGCTCTTTTGTCTCTTCGGCGGCTGTCTCGACCGTCTCCGGAGCATCGGGCGGGGCATCATCCGCGGCCTCGGGCTCTGATTTATTGGGGGGTTCAGGTTGAGCGCTCTCTGCAACCTCCGTCGAAGGCTCAGCTTCAACCTCCTTGGAGGCTTCGGCGTCACCTTCGGGTTCAGACTCCTTAGGAGGCTCGGCATCGTCAGCCTTTGCTGTCTCGACGACAGGCTCAGGAGCGCCCGCAGGATCAGCGTCTGCTTCGACTGGTGCCTCGACCGCCTCAGCGACCGGAGGCTCGGCCTCGGTCTCTGCCGGCTGAATTGCCGAGTCGGCTTCCTTGTCTGCAGCGGCAGGCTGCTCTTCGGCCGGCTCGGTCGCAGTGGCTGGCTCAACGGGCTTTTCATCAGCACCAACAGAAACTGGCGCATCTTCGCTAGTCGAGGCAGTCTCTTCTTGTGGTGCTGCTGGTTCTGCCTCCACGGTGGTGTCGTCAGACTTGGGCCCTTCAGCATCTGAATCAGTGGTTGTTGCATCTTCTGGGATAGCCGCAGGTTCGGCTACAGCAGGTGCTGCGTCTTCCTTGACGTCGGCCGTCTCAGCCGGGGAAGATTCTTCGCTTTCAGCTGCTTCAGCTGGAGCATCAGGTACTGGTGCCTCCTCTGAGGCAGCGGGAACTGGTTCAGCTTCTTCGGGCTTCACAGCATCATCCGCGGGAGCATCTGCCCCGACGACTGCGGCTTCGGCTGCATCCTCCACAACTGGCGTCTCAGCCGCAGCTTCAACCGGGACCTCTTCTGATGACACTGCTTCTTCAGCTGCCTGAGTTTCGGCGGCCACTTCAGCCGGAGCATCAGCGGCATCAATCTCGGCCGGTCCAGGCTCGGCTGTTTCAGCCTCTTTAGCGACCTCAGAAGGAACTGAAGATTCCTCCGTCTCAGCACTGGCCTCCGTCGAAGTAGTTGCCTCCGTCGATGCTTCTTCCGGCATTGGCTCCTCGGAGGTCGTTTCTTCCACTGCCTCAACCGAAGGCTCGGCTGAGGGCTCAGCTGGAGCTGATTCATCAGATGCTTCGCCGGCAACGGGTTCGGCAGCCGGTTCTTCGGAAGAAGGAGCATCCTCAGTCTTGGCCTCGGAAGTTTCTTCGGCCGCAGGGGCAGCAGGAGCAGGGGACTCCTCAGGCGAAGCCTCTACATGTGCCTCCTCGGGGGCGGGGTCCTCAGGCTTGACATCGGCAGCAGCAGGTTCTTCCGCAGGCGCGGATTCTTCAGCTGTGGTGTCAACAGGGGCATCAATCGGAGCATCTGCAGGAGCATCGGTAGCAGGCCCATCAGCAGCGGCAGCGTCATCCGGCTGAGCCTCCTCTGCGACATCTGCAGCAGGCTCGGCGTCAACGGAAGCTTCGGCCGCAGGCTCCGCAGGGGCAGCATCCTCTGGTTCTGGCTCTTCGGAAGTCTCGGTGACGGGCTCATCCGCAGGAGCAGCGTCCTTCGGCTTATCTTCAGCTGAAGTCTCAGTAGCTGGCTCTTCAGTAGCTGCAGTCTCTTCCGGAGCTGGCGCAGAATCGTCAGGTTTTAACTCGACAGGAGCCTCATCAGCTGCTTTCTCCTCGACGGGAGCAGCGTCTCCCGACTCAGCTTCGACTGTGGCATCAGCCGCAGCATCCGCAACAGGTGCAGTCTCTTCCGATACAGGCTCAGCTGAAGGTTCACTGGCGGGCTCCTCTGCTGGTGCAACAGTCTCAGGCTCTGCATCGGCGGGCGCGTTAGGGGTCGACTCTGAGACTGTGGACTCCTCGGGCCTGACTTCATCGGTAACAGGTGCAGCATCCTCTAGTGTAGGTGCGGACTCTTCGGACTTTTCCTCTGCCGGTGTCTCTGCGGTTGTTTCGGGGACTGCATCAGCAGGTGCATCGGCAGGAGTTGCGTCTCCAGGCTTGCTGTCCGCTTCCTTGTCAGCTTCGGCTTCAGCCTGTGCCTCAGAAGCCTCGGGAACAGCTTCGGCAGGTGGTGTGTCCTCGGTCTGAGGTTCCGCTGCAATAGGCTCTGCTTGAACTGTTGTGGGCTCTTCAGTTGCAACCTCCTCAGTGGAAGCTTCAGGTGTAGCCTCTATTGCCTCGGGGGCCACTTCTGCTGGTGCATCGGCTGCGTTGTCTTGGCTGTCTTCTGTTGCAGCTTCAATAGAAGCTTCAACAGGAGCTTCGGCGGGAGCTGGATCTACAACAGCCGACTCCGTTGCCTCTGCAATGGCCTCAGCAGCGTCTGGCGATATTTCCGTCGCTACCGTGTCATCGACTTTGGCGTCATCCAGGCTTCGGTTAGCAGCCGGCTCAAGTTCAGCTTCGACGGCCGGCGGCTCCTCCTTCGCCTCAATGATGGTCTCCGGAGGCGGAGCTGGAGCATCCTCCATCTTTGGCGGTTTGGCGTCCTCTACCGGGGGTGGCGGCGGCGGAGGGGGGATCGATCTTGAGCTCTCGACCGGCTCTGGTTCGGCGTCTTTTCCGCCCTTGCCCTTCTTTTTCTTCTTCTTTTCTTTCTTCTTGTCCTTTTCCTTGTCCTTTTTAGAAGATTCCTTCGTCTTCGTCGGAGACACGGGTGCCTCCTCTGCAACGATCTGTTTCTCTTTTATCGGTTCAGGCGTAGGCTCGGGCTCGGGCTCAGGGTCAAGCTCGGGTTCAAGCTCAGGTTCCGGTTCGGGCTCGGCTTCTACGGGTGGCGGAGGCGGAGGTGGCGGAGGTGCAGCAATTTCCTCCTTTTTGCCCTTCTTCTTCTTCTTCTTGTCCTTTTTTGAGGATTGTGTCGGCCACTCGTCTTCGGCTATGCCGTTGTCTTGAGGCGGTCCAGGCGTGGGAAGCTCAGGGGCGACAGCCGATGGCTCTTCATAGGTGTACTGTGCTGCCTTCTTGTCCTTCTTTGCCTTCTTCTTGCTCTTTTTACTGCTGCTGCTGGCTTGTGCAGGTTGTGAAGGATACGTCACGCCATTGGCATATACGTCGCCGTCTGTAAGATGAAGGGGTTAGGCGTGCTAATGCAATACTCAAAGCGCAATCTAAAGTGACTTACCATTTTCCAGCTCTGAATCTGAAGGTTGGAAATACTGGATGTTGGAGAAATCTTGGGTTTGGACATGGTTCCAATCAAGGTTCTGCCGGTAGGGGCAGAAATCGACTGGTTCTTCCGAATTCATGCTTCCAGGACTCGTGGATTATGGGGGTCCTTGTTTCGCAAAAGTTGATCAATGCTGATCCGGGGAGATGGTCTGATGTTGTCTTTGGCGCACGTGGACGGCTGTCGTTGGCGAGAGATGAGATTGGGGGTTCTTTTCTTGACAAGTTCTCAATTTTCTTGTGATAGTGCGGTGCCCAAGCCGGAGTAAGAAGTTCGAGTCTCTTGGGCTGGTATCGCGAGACTCAAAAGGATGTATTGTGAGGTATCTTGTCGCCTGTGAGACCGTGTTGTGGTGTAAACAACAGACAAAAGTGCAATGGGCAGTTATGACAAGGAAGCAACAGGTTTCTTGTCTCGGCTTGACACTGGATAGAGTTGAGAAATAAGGGACCAAGAGTGACGAGATGCGTCCCGACTACGACCATCCCAGGAGGACACAATTGGGCTAAACTGTGGGAAGAAAAGTAGATTCTCGAGAAGCAGGGGGGAGCTTTCCCAGCAGTGCCAAACATCACAAGCATCACTGGTCTGTAGCAGGGTTTAAGGTGCGGGAGTAAGGGGTCCCTGACACAGGCCTACCCCACGCTGTCCCCACGAATGGAGACAAATTGTGGCAGTCTCAGAGTCCAAGTGATCACTGTCGTGCGTGCTTGAGGGCCATTGGCTCAAGTGAGGCGGAACAAGCACTGGCGCCACGTCGCAATTGGGTTGGACTGGGGAGTGCGGTTTCTGGGTTTTGGGAGCTTGAGTGATGTGATAAATGATGTGACATGAGGCGAGGCAGAGGAACAGAATTGGACCTGGGACATCAGACGGACAAGGAGACAAGGAGGAGGGTTGATGGCTGCCCAACGACGATGCGATTGGAAGCGAGCGACCAACCCGCATAATGAGACGGGCTCAACCAGGCTGGGCATGAACGTCGGTGATTTTTTCCCGGGATATGTGGTTTACTTTTTGTGGTCTTGTCCCTTTTCGTAGTCTCATAGGGCCGTACCTAAGTCTCAAGATGACATACCGCTACCGCCGTACCGTCGAAGTCCATTGATTCTATCGGATGAGTATTGTCGCTTGACTTTTATCTATAGAAGCCAACATCATTGCGGATGCCATGGGGGAAAGAAGCCTACGGGTCAGTCTTTGCGGTGAGGCATTGGAATAGACCGAGAGACCACAAAACAACAAGGCGCAGCGCCTGTCCACCAATGATCTTCATAAAGCGACGATGGATGGATAGTACTGAGGAGGTCAAATGTATTCGTACTTGGCCTGAAAAGGGCTCGAAAGGGCTTAGGCTCCCCAAGACTCTTCTGAGGACGAGGGAATTTTTTGGGTTCAATGAAGTGTCAATTGTCAAGCATCCCTCCACTCAGCGGCTATGAGCTAATAATTGCTGTGCTGCGCTGGTCGTCGATTTCCGGCCCAGTGCACTCGCACGCATCGGGCGGCCGGAGCAGGGTAGGTCGATGGGCCGGTCCACTAGGGCCAGGCATATCCTTGTATGCACAGGTACTCATCGCGCCTGGCGAGACATAAGGAAACGATTGCCGACGGAAAGGTGGTTCCTGGAACATAGTGGAGGGTAAGCCCAACCTTCTTCCCGTCATTCATGATATTCGAAGAGACTGAGGCTGGGCAAGGGAGAAGCCGCGGTCTGGCTAGAAGTAGTTAGAAGGCGTCGAGAGGCCGTTATGATTGTGCACATGGCCACTCGCTGACCGGCACTTTCCTTCGATAGACGCTCACCGGCGGCTGGCATGTCAATGGTGGGGGTTGGAGTAGAGCGCGGTTTGTTTCTCATCGGCCATTAAACCCCCGGTCAGCGAGGTGCAACGTGGCTCGCCTGGGTGAGGCTCGTCTGTGAAGATCCATGCAGTAGAGGCCCGGACCACGGCTGGCGGGAGGGGCGGATGTGACTGCAGTGACAGTGACAGTAGCACCAGCAGAAGAGTGGTGGATTTGGATTGGGCGACGGCTTGTAACGGGCTGTTTTCTTCGGCTGTCTGCGAGGAAGTAGGGAGCAACGTCGGCGTGCAAATGCGAGGAATACAATGCCGCGATGACCATGTCATGTCAGCAAAGCGTCTTCCGTGGAACCACTTGCTGTGCCATCTAATGTAACCGCCGAATGGAGTGTTCGGGCGAAAATTTTGGTGAGAGGGAGTTGGTAAGGTGGGCGGAGGTTGGGCCGACGTCGATATGGGATGGGACGGGATGGCATGGCTCCTCCCGAGGTCAGTGTCTGAGAGGTGCAGTAGCCCAGTCTAGCCCGAGGAGATGCGTACATAGGTTGTGTGCCGCAATGATGGCGTCGGTGCGATTGGTGCCCTGCAAGAACCCGACTTGGTCCGACTACATGCCACTGGGCATAAGAGAAAGAATCAATGGGGCCGTACACGAGTCGGCGGTTGGGCGCTGGGAGGGCGGCAGGCAGCATGGCTGGTGGTATTGGGCGGACCTGAGGACCGATGATCGAAGACTGGTGACCGATGGAGAGAATGGGTTGGCAGCATCTGGGCTGGGGAAGCATCGAGGTTGCGAGGGAAGCCATCGCGATTCCGAGGCTGATACGTATACTGATATTACCAGGAAGGTCAAGTAATCGTCGGGTACATGGTCGTGAATTGAACCAGCTGTTGATCGGTGTCGTGGACTGTCACAACGGGCGCTCAATTGCGGTGGATAAGGCTCATCGTCGATTGTTTTGTTGTTTATGCGAAAGAAGACCCATCCATGAAAATGTTTGCAGGAGGCGGAAGAGGGAAGACCAAGGGAAGAAATTGAGTTGGCAGTCCTGACTCCTGACCCGAGCTTTTGCCAGGAAGATGGTTTCACTTTCTTCGGGAAGGAAGCATTGGTCGCCGTCACGTCACAGCCAGCGTGTTGGGAATGACGTTGCTACACTACCTCAATAAGAGTCTAAGTACCTTGTTATCGAAGAAAGTTAATTCTTTCTGAGTCACAAGTACAAGAATACAGTACCTCAATAAGAGTCACTAACGTGCCTGCCCTCACCGCGGGGAATTTCGGTGTAGCATGTGGCAGGCGCCAACACCTGCAACTTTACAGTGCCTGCCCTGGCCATTGATACCTCACGAGCCCACTTAGGTAAGCACCAGCACCCTGGTAGAACCCGAACAACCAACGACCGGCCTTGAGGCCTGACTCTTTGAGTTGGCGCATTCCAAGGTTTGGCTCTCAGAAAAAGTTGTGAAGCCTGTCCATAGGTGCTCAAATAAGCCGCGTATGTGGGACTCGATAAGAAGCATGTATCGGTGTCCCCGTCACAGCCCAATATTGTAGGCAAATTCGCCATGACGGTGATGGAAAATACTTTCAAAGCATCTCGAAAAAAATCCACTCTTCCGGCCCTCTATATTCTCATGGTGCTGGGCCTTCGAAGGCTCTCCTGACAGCCCAACCGCCCTAAATTTCTGGTGCTTCCATCCGCAAGACACCGCAGAAAACTCCGGTGCCCGTTGACCGAGCTTGCATTGATCGTGTAAGAAAGCCTCATTTGACCTCTTACGATGACCCAGCCCACATCGTGATCACAATGATAAGGTCCTGGGTTCACATCAAAGATCCTGTCCATAAGTCCATAGAATTACATGAGTCGGAAAGAGGCAGCCGAGTGCCCCGCAGAATCGACACCCGCCACCTACCTCAACACAGCAGGTCCGTAACAGTGCCACGGAGGGCAGAGTGATCGTGGGCCACCAGTACTCCGGCTCGCGATCGGTCACTCCTGACGACTGGCGGTGTGCCGAGACACGTGAGGAATGGCTCCTGTCCCGGTCCCGGTCCGGTGGGGACCTCTTTGAGACAGCGAACTTGGCACTGCCGGTGGGCCGGCGACAGCATGTCTCGCCCGCTTCTCGCCCGTTTGCTCACCGAACTACACATCGCTCCAACGCGGCAGCGCTTCCGATGCATTAGTCCCCACGTATCTTGTCTTGTCCGGCAAGGGAAAAGGCGCCAGTGCTGCAATAGCTTCTCAACAACAATCAATATGTCTTCTATGAAAAAAGTGAGGTGTGCGTAGTACTCGTAGACTGTAAAAAGTGCCACTCCAGCAAACCAGAAAAGCTTGTCAAACTCCCTCCCATCAGCTTCCGCAACCGCGAGATTCCTATCGAATGGCACCCACGTAACCCAAAACGCCAACGCCAGTAGACAGGTCTGAGAAAGAGGGGCAGGTAGCTGAGAAACATGTGAAAGAGGACCGCTTCGGAGTCGTATCCGTTGTTGGTAGTGAGCATGTTCGTGTATATCGAGTGTGTCGTACGGTATCCACTTCTCTGGGCAGCTGTGATGTTCGACCTGCTTATCCCATCGCGCCGCAATTCTCATGCAAAGCCTCTAGAAGCTCCATCCCGAACCAGGAATGCTATGCCATCGTTCTCGGCCATCCCCACAGGATCGCCTCACACCTGACTCCTTTACATGGCCATCTCCGCCTGCAGCTTGCGGAGCTCGGCCTCTTCGTCGTCCTCTTCGACAGCTTGCGCCTTGCCTTTGACTGAATTATCACGTCAGTACATCACTCTTATCATGATCTCAGAACGTGGGATCTCCTTACTTGGTCCGTTCGCGGCGGCAGGCATCTGGTGAACGCGGTCTGACACAGGCACAGTGCCAGTGCCCACCATTTGCTCGTCCAAAGCCTCCTGCTGCATTTGATCCAGCTCATCCTCCAGGTCCTCGTCGATAATGTTATCGGTCTGGCCCGTTGTGATAGCGTTGACAATTTCCTCGCTAAGCGCATTTTGTTCGCGGAGATCCTCCCTGTTCTCGTAGTCAGCATTTGTCTTTCGCACTGGCTTACAACCTTCGAAACGTACATTGTTTGGTCCACCTTGTCCACGGTGAGCTTGCCGTGAATACCCTTCATGGCCTGGCCAGCCTTCTCCATCGCCAACAGCGTCTCGCGGTTGATATTCGCCGACTCGATAGCGTTGATTTGGGACTCGAGTGTAGTGATTTGCGAAATAGTCTGTTCGAGGCTGTGTTCGTGGCCCTTCTTGCGACGCAAGGCAGCCTTTGCGGCTATTACGATATCCCGTCAGCATCTAGTCTCCCCACAGTCTCGATTGCTCAGATAAGTTACCGTTCTTGTTTGTGTTGACGTTCTTCCTCGCAATAGTATCTTGTTCGTCCATCAACGTTTGAAGATGCTTCTCTCTCTTTTGCAGCATATCAAGCTGGACCCTAAGGCCGAGGATTGCATCTTTGGCATCGTTCTTCTTCTTGGCGCCACCACCACCGCCAAACCAGCCCCAGACGCCAGACATGATCAGAGGTGTTGAAGTTTCGAGTTTGCTAGTATTAATCGAGTAAATCGAATGGATTCCGGTCGTTTATGAGGTTGTGCGCAGGCAGCGATCGTTTGAAGGCAGCCGTATTCCGGGGTTGCGTGGCACTCGACCGAAGTTTGATGGCGGGGTACCGAAACGGGAAACAAGCGGGCACTCGTCGTCGTCAACGAGCTGCAAATTTAGCGAAGGCCTACTGATAGGCGGAGTTGCCAGTAATTTCTAAATCACGCGACGAACACCCGCGGCTCGCTCAAGTCAAGTTGTCGCCAAGTTGATAGTTGGAAGGCTGATAGATAGAGTCAGATAGGTAGTCGGTAGGTAGGTATGATGCAAGCTCCCGACTGGCTCAGCGACGCCGTTTAGTGGGCAAGCGATGACGGCGGTTGTGCCCAGCAACAGCGCTGCCGCCTGATTTAGCCGCGGTTCAGCCGATCATGTGAGACGCCCGCGTGACAGGCCACCTTGGTGGTGACTTCCAAGGTTGATCCAGATAAGACATATCTTATCACCGATAAGTACCTTACCTAAGGTACCTAGAGTGCACGCGGCCCAGTGACCAAAGTTGCAGCCGCCAGCAGCTGTCGCCATTCACCGTTCCCTTCCGCCTCAGTGAGTAATTCGTACCTACCTTTATATCGTATAGGAAGGTAGCTGGGGAAACTACAAAGTTGATTTCACGCACAACGTCCTTCAGACATACACTACCCGGCAGCCTCAGATGATCGTTGTCTAAATCACTTCATCCACAACCTGACTGGAACTTACCTTCGACTTGGCCAAGCAGTGATGCATATTGTTCGAGGCCTGAGCAACTAACAATCACCTAAGCCATGTCTAGAGGCCCGCTGCCTTCTCAGCTTTGTCTCTTGTCAGACTTGCCGGCTCGACCACAGGGCGATAAGGTCAGATTTCTCGGGTGGTAAGTTTTGATATTTTTCGCCCACTTCTGACTTTGATCGATGATTCGCTCTCGTCCTATGTCAAAAGTCGTCCGTTGGTAACCATACTAATTGCCATCAGTGTAACTGCGTACTCGACGCAATCAGCTGTGCTCACGCTAGAGCATAGGTTCCCCAAAGGATCCGATATCAGTGTATTGGTTGACATTCAACTCTTACTCAGTACCATGACTTCAAACCAGACACGCATCGGCGAGTGGGTAAATGTGGTTGGCTATCTCACGCCCGCTCCCCCGGGAACGCGGGCCAAAGGGACGACCCGTGAACCACGTATAGCCGCCGTCCAGGCAATCATGCTCTGGCCCGCTGGCCCTCTCAACCTTCAGCGATACGAAGCTTCCTTCGCAACAACTTGAAGTAGAGTCTAGATGAATCCATGCCACCCGTTGGGGAAGACGAGGCACACCATCTACTACCATAAGCTGCCGCCTGACCTGAGAGGAAGCGGACATTGGCTTCGGTAACAATGTAGGCAGACGTGTCATGCTCACTACCGCACCCAGGCTCCCGTGTCTCGTCCAATTCGTCACGCATGCCACGAACCAACAGGTATGGATAAGAGATCTTACAATGGGACTGAAGATGGGCTTTTCTTTCAGCATTCGCGACCGAGCACGGTCCGATCATCATGTCAGCCACGCCATCCTGTCAAAGGTTTCCATTGAACAAACATTCTCGGCCCGCATGAATGTGCTACTAGCTCACAGCGACGATTTGGTCCGGTATAAATGCACCTTGTCTATTCTGGAAGGCAAGCACACGCCAATTAGGTATCTGGTTGAGGAAACGCGTGCTCATGGCATCCGCTGGCGCTGCACTCTGATGCGCGCCTCTTGCAACAATTCCGCATACACATACCAAAAAGGAGCAGCGCGTAAAGAACCTCGGAGATTTTGCTGTTACCATTGGACCCCCCCAAAAAAATGCCAGATGGCAGACTGCTGCTGGGTGATTTCGGGACACATACTCTTCTCGTCCCAATCAAACAAAAATCTGGTTATAATACTGCTTCGTTTCGCCTGACGCCCATCCAGTCAAAAGAACGAGTGTTCGGTCGGGTCCACCGTTTGCTGCGGCCACCAGGCCACACAACTCGACCCCCCTCACAAGAGACGCGACCTTTTGCGCATGCCTCGAATCATCGAATCCCACAAATTCCTTCCGTATGCATGAAAGGGCTAACCCGACCGCCTGCAACGCCTTAATATTCAAATGCCTAGATCCAAAGACCTGGCCCAATGCGAGATCTCATTCACCACAGTCGACTCCACCGATCCACCCGACTTCACTCCCGCCGCCTGTCGTCGTAACGTCGATGTCGCTCGTGGCTTCGGTGTGCGTCATGTCTCCTTTTTGACGAGTCGTTTGACCCTCGGGATATCACCACCGGCTGATGCAACGGTCTTTTGAGGGGCTTGTCTGCTTCTTGGGCTCTAATGGCCGCCTGGCGCTCCCATATTTCTTTGGACTTCCTACAGATATCGTCGATCTGCTCCTATATGCAGAGACGATGATCAGCAAATTCTGCACCGCTGAAGAACAAAAGATGGGGGAAAGAACCAAGCGGCAAGCTCACATCTGTCAAGCAAGGGCCTGGAGTGGTGATGAGGAATCCATCTTCTCCCTGTAGATGCTGTGAGAGGCGTCTCAGTCATCGTGAATGAGATATTCACACCTCATTTGTGTACGGCCTGACCGTTGCATCCGGCCCGAGATAATAGGGAAGCTCTTGAGTGATGATCTTCTTGTGAATATCCAACCGGGGAATCCAGTATCTGTTCATCTCTGTTGACGAAGGCATGGCAGATGTTTGGGCATGGAAAATATGAGCTGTCTGCCTGAGCGCATTGGACGAGCAAGATGGCGCAAGTCATCGTGAAATATTGGCGATCAGGAGGAAGAACAAGGTATTTATCTTCGCCAACAATACGATGATTCGGGGTGCCAATCCTCGTACGCTGCAACGGAGTCGATATTACGAGTTCCCCAGGCATGTTATTGCACCAAGCAAGACAAAAGGAGCACTTTGTCTTGCCTTTTCGGCACAGCTCTTGTCGGTATCCTCACCGCTCCGGCTTCTCAGTCGTCAGAACCTGCCTCTACAAGGCCTGCATGCAAGGACAGACGCCACATACGGCCTTTGCAATGTCGGTTCTCACCAGGGTGGGAACCCATCCATCTGGGTGTGTTCCACCTTACAGGTTGGGGGTGGTGAGCCTGCAGGAGATAGGCAAAGTGAGGCGGACGGCGGCAACCCCATGACGGTTCGCCTCACACGTCCGCAATAATCCCGCCACCTGCAACCACGAATCACCGTCGGAAGTCGCTATATGCGTCGGAACGACCTTAATCGAGTCTTTTGATTCTCTCTCTACTGCACGCCCTTTTTCGAATGGAGTTTCTGTTGGCCATCATTCGCCAGTCACTTCTCGACTATGGATCAATTCGCTGCGAGATCCAGTGACGGGACTAGGCTGCAGTTTCTGCAGGTCCATCTCATCGCCATCTTCGTTTCCGGACATGCTGGAATGGGACCTACCCTCGTGGCTTCCTGGCAAATTCAGCTTCCTCCATGGATGAACCCTGGTGGGTAAGGTAAGGCGTCGGTGATTTCTGGCAGCCAAGCGGTGCAGATCATGTCGATCGCCGCTCGCGACTTCGAGGCGAGCATGCGGGGATGGCGAGTGTCTGCCAGTCATTGCTGACCAGGGTTTCTTATATATCTAGGATCTCGAGTTCTTCAACGATCCAGATGAACCCTGGACCCTTCCCTTTTCTGTTGGTCCCGGATTTTTGGAACACAAGGCTGCTGCGATCGTCGCCGTCAACACCAGATTCGTCGGCGCTGAAACTGCCGGTGAACAGTAATCATAAACAAGTCATCATTTCGACAATACAGCCTTCAAGTTGCTGTAAAGTGGTGTGCACGATGATTTTCCAATCGAATCACACAGCTTCCGACCGTACCGATCGTAACACTATCCAGCATTATCGGTATCAAAAATGCGTCAACGGGGAACTAGAGAGCCCTTCCAGTACTTGACAGCCGAATACGAGGCTTTCCGGCCGGGCATGGCATAAGCCCGAAGATCGTTATAAGTCGTCTCCCTGCCCAGGATGGTCGATCTCTGAATCCTACGAAGAGGGGTTGGCCATCAGCCGTAGTGCCAGACGACTCTCTAGATCAACATGCCCGAGCCTGGCGACAAGGCGAGGAGCTGGTGTTGGCTCTTCTCCATCATACGATAATGCGGGCAGCATAGCATTGCACACCGAACAATGCGACGTCGTGCCAAGGACATGCTGGGAGATCCACTCTGCAGTACCCAAATAGGTTGATGCGACCCTTCTTGACATATTCCCAAGGCGTTCTTCAAGTTGAGGCTCGTCGCGCAGACAGGACAATTGGATGTGCTCGCCAAACAGGCACCAGTGTTTGGAGGCATCGAGGCTGCAGTTGACTGTCAGCCAAGGTTGAGCAGTGCTCTGAAGCATTTCTGACTGCTCATAGTATCTATGCAGCTTTGGTTAGACAGTGTTACACATGACCTGAGAGCTTGGGCTCGATGAGCCTTACTTTTGCTCGCGCGACGTCAAGATTAACCCAATGTCCGTGGGTTGGTTGAGCCGCAGGGTCCAACTTACAAGGGCTTGTCCTTCTTCGATTGTTGGTCTGTGTGATCTTTCAGTGCAAGCAAAGTGGTGCACCTCATTGAAACAACTAGTTTGCGGGATGCAATGGTACCAATCCTCATTGTTTCCTCAATCTTTTGACGACGTCCCATTTTTCCACATACACGCAAAAACACATCTCGATTCCGAACTCTAGGAGTGTCTGGACATGGAGGAAAAACGTCCCGGCGCAACCTGCGACCTCGCTGGTATCTGGAGGCTGAGGTGCTAACCAGAGCTTCTGCGCTTGAGGGAGTGCTACATTCAATCACGACGTTTAGATGTAAGGAAGTAACACTGTCGCTGGTTGTCAGTCGCCGTGTAAAATTGCTGTACAATAAAGTCGCAAGAACCTTGAACGTAGCACATATCTTGATATTCATCCCCCGGCATAAGCCGAACTCAAGGATTGCAGGCAGAAACCGCATTGCGATACTGATACCAAACAAATTACCCGATCGAAACTACCAGTGACAGGGCATTCCGCAACGTAGGGTTGCTTGTTAGCTCAGTCGTAATTTGACCAGCTCTTACATGGCTTTTAGACGTATTTGATCTCCTCGTGGGCAAAGGCTTGATCAGTAATTTCGTCACTCCTGAACCAGCAGCACGCAAGTCAGTGCAATCGAAGAACTCGGTTCTCAAGGTCTAAGTCCAGCCGTCTTACGCGGCGGTAGGCTGAAGCGGTGCCGGTCACATCCGGTCACCGGGCCGGTGCCGCGACTCCACCCAACGCCATTGTCCAATCGGGCCGGACTGCGATCCGGACGGAGCGGTGGGCCGTGTCCTCGCCTTCACTTTCCGACTGACATGATGACATCGCGCGCCCTTGCGAGGTGGAGGCTACTTGCGTGTCGATAGCTTCATGCCCATAGCAGAAGACTGGCCAGTAAATGTTATTTTTTCAAAGTGCAGATAGAGCCGGTCTGTGGAATCCGGCGAAAGGTGGTAAATATAAAAAGAGAGTTGCACTTTGGGGTTCAGCAGTCTATCAATTAAACACCGCCGATCAGATTTGACCCCGCACAAGTACGCCCAAAAGATTGAATCCTATCAACAATAACAATAATACCAAAATCCATTCCACCATGACCAGCCTCAAAGACTTCCGCGTCCTAACCTTTGACGTCTATGGCACATTGATCGACTGGGAAACAGGCGCCCTAACAGCTCTTCAACCCCTCCTAGACGCGAACAACCGCACCGACTTCACCCGCAAGCACCTCCTGGACACCTACCACGAATGCGAAGCCGCGCAACAGGCCCGAACCCCAGACCTCCCCTACGCCCAGCTCCTCACCACGATCCACCCCCAAATCGCTGCTAAGCTCGGCCTCGCATCCCCGCCCCCGTCCGCCGAAGCCTCAAAGGCATTTGGCGACTCCGTCGGCTCCTGGCCCGCGTTCCCGGACACGGTCGACGCCCTCCGCCGGCTGGGCAAGTACTACAAGCTCGTCGTCCTCTCCAACGTCGACCGGGACTCGTTTGCGCTCAGCAACGCGGGGCCGCTGGCGGGCGTGCCGTTTGATCTTGTTGTCACGGCGCAGGATGTCGGTTCGTATAAGCCCGACCAGCGCAACTTTACGTATATGCTGCGCGAAGTGAAGGAGAGGTTTGGGGTTGAGAAGGAGCAGGTGCTGCAGACGGCGCAGAGTCAGTTCCATGATCACCATCCGGCCAAGGAGGCCGGTATCAAGTCGTCTTGGATTGTGAGGCCTGGGGCGGTGATGGGGAATAGGGATCGCGAGGTGTTTGATTGGAAGTTTGATACGTTGGGGGAGATGGCTGATGCGCTTGAGAAGGAATTGGCTTGAAGCGGGATCTATGTATACATTGTATGACAGGATGTTCTATTTAATGCCATGTTCAAGTGCCGTCCTACGCGAGATGTCCTACGCGAGATGGACTATCTACTACTTGGGTTTTGACATCTTGAAGCGTTGCGCCACTATGAAGTTGCAACAACGTACGCAGGAGGAATAGGCTCCATGAGCTCAATACCTTATCTTACTCCTCAATCTAGCCACAGTCTCTTGATCGTCTCATTAGAATCTATCAAAGTTTGTTATGAAATACATATACAGTGTCTCAACTGCTGCAACAATCGTGCTTTTCTTGTGCGAATCACTCCAAAACGATACGAGAAACTTGCACGCCAAAAACCAAAGCAGGATCAAGATAAGATGCGAAAGAGACATGTGGAACAAAGACTAGTCCAATAAATCATAAGTTAGGAAAATGCTTATACTCATCATCTGGAGGTAATTCGTTGCAGGTCCCAGAGCCGAAAGCCGGTCCGGCCGAGACCGGCCCCGCCAAGCCATCGGGTCCACTAGCCTATCTCCCACCGAAGCGGGGGGAACACGGGGGAATCCCAGGAGGGACTAAGAGAAACACCTCCTAGCTAGCAAAACATATCAATGGGATCGCTTAACGCTCAGTCGAAGCCTCTGATATAGTCAGGATAAATCACAATTCAACCTGTAATTTTCCAATAAGTCATAACACTCATAGTCATGACGTCGGACCTGCTTGCCGGCTTCCCGGCAAACGCACCCCCCAAACCCAAGACCAAACTTCGATTCGCAGATGTAAGTTCACGAGCCCCAAAGCCCCCATCACGAAACTACATGCGATTGTTATCTGCCTACATCATGACTTCAAGTTAAATCTCACACACCAACACTAGGTCGCAGTGACAGCAACAGCAAAAGATTTCGCCGGCTTCTACAGGGGAAAACAATACCACCAACCAGACTTTGACGCCGTCCTCGACCGCGCCTCGGCCGCAGGCGTCGACAAGGTGATGCTCACGGGCATGTTCCTCAGCGACGCAGCCAAGAATCTCTCCATTGCCAGATCGCGGCCAGCGGGGACGTGTTTCGTGACGATTGGCATCCATCCGTATCACGCCGCGGAGCCCGATGCTGAAGAAGATGGCGGCGAGGAAGGTCATTTCAAAAAATTGGCAGAGGTCGTCCGCGAAACGTTGAGCTCCACATCGGAAGGCAATCCATCGCCGTTGGCTGCGTTTGGCGAGTTGGGGCTGGACTATGACCGCCTGAACCACGCGTCCAAGGAGGCGCAGATTCGTACTTTTAAGCGGCAGTTGGACCTTTTTGTCGAGGAAAAGCTGGATTTGCCCCTGTTTCTCCATTGTCGCGCTGCGTACGATGACTTCGTGGAGATCATCAAGCCATACCTGCCTAACCTCCCCCGCCGCGGGCTGGTACACTCCTTTGTGGGCGCCTCGGCTCAGATGAGAACCCTGGTGGAGCTCGGCTTCGACGTCAGTGTCAACGGCTTCAGCTTCCAGGACAGGGAAAGCTTAGAGATGGTGCGCGATATTCCGTTGGAGCGCCTACAAATCGAGACGGATGCACCGTGGGGTGAGATACCGGCGGGCTCGGAGGTGGCGAAGAGGTATCTTGGTAACGCGTCGGCTTTGCCGCAGAGCAAGAAGAAGGACAAGTTCGAGTTGGGCCTCATGGTGAAGGGGAGAAATGAGAGTTGTACCATGGACAGGGTGGCTTTTGTCGTGGCGGGGCTCAAGGGGTTGAGTGTGGATGAAGTTGCTGATGCGGCCTGGAGAAACAGTGTCAAGATGTTTGGATTTGGCGAAAGCTAACACAAGATGAAGCGAAAGAAGGATCGAGCCTTTATTGACCACAATATGGTGCGTGATACCAGTCTTACGGAGCTATCTCGATCGTGAAGGGGGTTCTCCCGTCCATACTCGTCAGAGTGTCTTTTCTACCATGCTAATCCCCTCCTTCTCGAGCAACTTGCGAATGGGGTCACAGATCTCTGAAGTGTAGGGTGCCAACACCCCCGGCACATTCAAAGCAGGTTCCCCGTCCATTAATAGCTGGGTAGCAATACCGCAGGTAACACCTACGGTCCTGGCCATGGCTGAATGCCCACCAGGTTCTCCGAAGAGCTCCAGTGTCGATGTGATGGTCTCCTATTCACGCGGGTCACCGTCAGATTTTGACTTAATTAGAGGGGAGGTGGTTGCGGCGTGCATGCTTACTCTACTACCATCTTTCCACTCAACGATGAACTTGTGCTGGAGCATGACCAGATCTCTCTCATCGGGCTGATAGCTCATGAGCCTTTCGAGCTCCGCACACAGTGTGTCTAGGAGATTGCCGCGGAGGGTTGCCGGCTTGTCGGAAAAGAGCCCGATCCATCGCAGGCCGTCAATGATTCTGTTCCTCTCAGTGATGTCCGGAAATTCGCAAATCTCATCAATGCGGGTGGTAAGTGTCCTTTTTGATACATCAGTATTTCAGCCTGAACTAGTAGCATGTATGCTTGGATGACTTACTCTTCATCAGTCCCGGCAGCACCAACAGCCCGTCCGAAAACCTCCCGCAACATCAAACCATCAGCATCCCTCTCCAGCCATGCCAGTGGCTGCGTGTCCAGCAATTCGAGCTTCGTCAACGCCGCCAAAAAAGCCGGGTTCCCTTCATACCGCAGCGACCCGCGCACAACCGTCTCCGCTTCAGGAATTCTGTAAAACTCCCGAAAAGGGACGGAGTTCCGATTCGGATATGCGAGGAACGAGTACCCATCCATCACGTGGTATAGTTTGGCCTGCTTCATGAGATCTTCGCGGGAAACATTAACGATCTGACCATTCTGGAGGTAGGATGCCGGGTTGAGCTGCGCAAGGAGCGAGCCTCGGGGCGACCAGGAGAATTTGAAGCGCAGGGGGTTATTGGAGCACTCTGGATCTGGGAGGCCGCCGGCGTACGAATGGAATTCCTTGATCTGGCGTTTGCATTGTTAGTCTGGTGAAAAAGGGTAGTGCGTGAGCATGTAGTCGGGTTGGTTGTACTTTTCCTCCCTTGCTATGAACTTCGTCAATGATACGTATAGCGTAGAGGTGGTCGATTCCTAGGGGTTCATGCATGAGCTTAATGATCTTTGGTGTTGTGAGGAATCATGTCCTACCAGGATCGAGGCCAACTTCATTCAAAACCGTGATTCCGGCAGCCTTCACTTCAGATTCCAATTCTCTCATCGCCGGAGACACGTAGCTCGTGGTCACGACGTGAGTTTTGCCACGTATGCCAGCTTCGACGACACTCTGGTGATGAATGAATGGGACAAGTGAAATTACCAGGTCATGAGATGCCATATGGCTATCGAGCTTTGGAGACGCCACATCCAGAGAAATAGCGCTGGCTCGAGGGTGATTTGAAGCCAAACTTTCGGCTGTCGAAAGGGTTCGGCAAGCTATTACAAAATTGTTAGTGACCTCTGATAGTGATTTCGAATGGAAGCGGAATGGAATACCTATTGTCAACTTGTTCTTCGCGTTACGAAGCAGATATTCGACACATGGCTTGGCCACCAAGCCGCTTCCCAGGATAAGAATCTTTTTTTCGGACATTCTGTGAGCGCGATTCCCAGTTCGTGAAGAAACAAAAGTAGTTGTTAGATCAGGTGTTGTCTTTGAAGCTGTTGTTTTGAGAGGATGAGAAGGAGATGAGCTATTCACATTACCGTTCTTATAAGCTTGGCCCCTCGGTCACCTTGATATGTAGCCGTCCTCACTCTTCACTCAAACTACCATCTTAGACTTGAGTCATCCGGCGAGGGACTTCGATAAGCCTCCTTGTCATAAGAAGCTCAAAATTGCGACATTCTTGTCTTGAAATGCGTAATTCGAGTGTTTTGCATATAGATTTGTCGGCTTCCAGCAGATTGATTGCGCAGCCAGTCACATCGGCCGATCGGCCGACCGGGTTGCCTACAGTTAGGTTAAACGATGCCGCTATCACACTTCGCGTCGCAAACTTCAGAAATCGCCGAGTGGAAACAGAGCGACTCGGTCGCAGCGAAGGACCTTAAGGTTGAAAATTGGACTCCTTACTGAGTCAATTCGAACTTGGGGCAGCGCCAGTAGCTGACTGATTAGACAACGAAAGCGAGCGAATAAACCCATCTCAGATCTTCAGCATCCTGAACTCCTGTCTAAGGGAGTTCCAATCTGACATCACATTCTACTAATCATCGAGGAAGGAAATTGAACGTTTGCCATAAATGGAAGCGTTCGTCTACATCTTGTATTATCTAAATTATTCAGACGTCTTTCGCGATGCGCCATGATCAACGAAGCAAAAGCAAAATCCAGTTCATAACTACTGAGTTCCTCAGCAACTCGCAATGTCGAGCGCGCTGGGTATACCATGCCAAAGGCCATATGGCGAGTCCGACTGTACGACTTCTGGTATTCGCGTAAATCCTATCCAAGCTCAACTGGTGGCGGTGACCGAGAAATGTTCCCGTCTCCGGGTGCCTCTTGTACAGGAGGAGAATGGTATTTGGCGTCCGCAGCGATCTTTGGTGAAACTTGGATTTCTCCCTGACTATTCCCTTGATCACCAAGATCCCTATTCCCCCGATATCTCCTCCTCGCCAGTAGAATTCCTGCACAAACGGATAAGCCTACTCCCACAATGGCCCCGATAACGATACCAGCTATGGCACCTACGCCGAGACCTTCAGTACCGGACCCGGGTGTCGAAGTAACACTTGCCGCCGTTGCTGAAGAGCTCTTCGATGAAGTTGTGGTTGCCGAATCACTAGTTGGCGAAGGAGTGAGGAGTGTTGAAGTTGAAGTGGACCCGGATTCACTCCCATCAGGTAGTGTGATGAAGAATCTTGAAGATTGAGCCGAAGTGCTCGTCGAGCCATCAACAAAAAGCCCAAGGAAATAGTACGTGTCGCTGGGCGGGTCGGTCTTCGAAAAGGCATAAAAGTCTACTGTCCAAGTGAAGGACTTGGACGAGATGCTCTCTAACGATATAGCATAGTTAGTCCTCAATGCCCAAAGCCAAGCGATACCAATCCGCACAGAACTAACTTCCTAACGTGATTGATCGGGTGTTCTTGTTTGTCCAGAGAAGCAAGTTAAGCTTGTCAGCATCTGTCGTCCAGTTGAAGACGACATTTTGGCCTGATTCGAAGGTAGGGCCTTCAAGACCGGCCGGTTTCACGGGGTATGTGAACTTTGTGTTGGTATCATCGGCGGCGAAAGCATTCCGTGCCAAGCTAAGCACGAAAAGGAACGAAAAGATGTTCATTTTGCCGGTGTCCAGGATCCTCGAGCACAATGCCGAAACTCGAGGTAAGGGAGTGGGACGGTAATGAGCGCTGGAGCCTGGTACTTATGGATTTGGGTCGCTCCTTATGCGCTCTTCCTTGATCTTCGACATCAGGCTGTGACAGAGTATTACATTGGGGGGGGGGGGGGGGGGGGGGGCCACTGGGGGGCGTGTTTTGTTGTGTTTGTTTTTTTGGCTGCTTTCTTTTCTTCTTTTGTTGGTGGTGGGGGGGGGGAGGGGAGGGGTGGGGGGGGGGGGGGGGGGGGGGGGGGATGGCGCACTATCAGGAAGACGTGCAGTCCCCCCTCCTTCTTTGAGTTTTGCAGTGCCTTGCTGCGGTCCAGATCAGCATCAAGTAGGGATATGCTTTGCATGTGCGACTTGAAAATTGATTTACTTCAGCGCCCGGCTTTGATAGAGTCTCGCTTCACCAACGGGCCACCGCAGTTGGCAGCACACAAGACATGGTCTTGAGTGGCTACACCATTTCAATTTGTCACTGTTCACTTTTTATGGATGCTGTGTTGAAGTTTCACTGCAAATGAGACTGTCGTGCCGGTCATACCCATCGAGGAAGGATGGAGATGGCCATGCCATGCCGACTGAGAGTTTGCAGTGGTTGTATTCGTCTCGATGGCCCTTCCCAAGTCAAAAAGTCGATCAGGCTGGCAGTTGGGCGTCTATCGGTTGCAATTCACGTGGGGTTCTTTTGTATGCAAGCGATCCTTTGGGTTCCAAGTGTGGTTGTGTGGCGGAGCCTGAAAAGGAGTCAAGGCAGGTTGATAAAAGTAGGACGGGAAAGGAAGTGGCGCATATTGTGTGCAACATCAAACGAGACCAGGGCAAAGATCCTACGGGGAATGAGTAGATAAGCGCGAATACGGGGGCAAGTAAGAAAGTACTCTAGCAGCACCAATAGCCAAGCTTGAACGAATGAGATTGAAATGATATGCCAGCCTGGCGATAAAAAAGACCTTGCGCCGGAGGTTTCTATGATGCCAATGATAAGCCAGAAAGCAGCATGTACAGTTGTCGAAAGGCGCCTTTAAAGAGATACAAGCAGATCCACCCCACTGCCTCCCCTCCAAGAGATTGAAGCTGGCATAATCTTTTCATTGAATCAGAAATGTTGGGTGCCACACAAAGTTATCTGCGTAAGCTAGAACTAGAGGGTCTCTGAGTTGCCATAAATCAGATATCTTCTCAGTCGATACCGGTCTGAGTGTCCCTCATGGCATGCTTTGACTTCTTGAACTGGGTATTTTGCGAAGAGCTAATACATATTGATAATTGTGTTCGCGCTTCAATACTCTTTACCCAGAGGTCTGCTGACATAGTCCCACTACACAGTATAACAGAGCTTGAAGCTGCAGTCAGCCCCTTCAGCCCGGCAATGGTCTACTTGTGAGTGCTACGCAGACCGCGCGGGCTTGCGAAAAGTGCAGCGATGAGAGCGATTCCGGCAAACGTGGTAGAGGCGGCGAAGGCATACCGGATGCCCTCATAGTAGACATGGCGAGCGGGTAAGCGCACCTCTGCAGGGAGGGTCTTGAGGGCTGTCACGGAATGCCGAATCTCGTCGATGAGCTGAGTTGAGAAGAGCTTTTGTCAGTAACGGGGTCATTTCCACTCATAAAGACCATACTAGTAGTGACAGGAAGGAAACATACTCTCGACTTATCGGGGATGTCGCCGAGGACTTCGGGTAGTCGCACACTGAGCGTTGTCTGCACGATGGCAGAAGTTATCGCCACGCCCCAGACTGTGCCCAAAGAGCGAACGAGATACACCGTCGAAGCTGAAACTGCGTGATCTATGTTAATTGAGGCGGTGTCAGTTCAGTTTGGGTTGGACTCATGCTACAATTGACTGATTAACTCAAGAAGATACTCACCGGCGTGGTCAAACGAGGCCAGCGTCGTGAAGAGAATTGCGGGGTAGATGATACCCTGACCCAAATTCGCTGGAAAGATGTAAACGAGATACTTCCACTGCGAGTCCTGGAATTGGAGGGCAGTGACGAGTGAATTGCCGAACAGCATCAGGAATGCGCCAGCTCGGACGAGCCAGATGAGCTTGCCCCAGCGAGACATGACAATGCCCGCAAATAGACCCCCGAGAGGCGTGGCAAGTGATGGGATCGCCAGTCTCGCGCCAGCTTTAGTCGCCGAGTCAAGCAACACTACCTGGAAGAAGAGCGGAAGCATGAAAAGGTACTATAGTCACAGTCATATTAGCAATCATAAAGCCAACGTTTCGAGCAGTGGATGGCTAGTCCATGTGAGGTCTACGTACCGCATACGCCGAGAGTCCCGCGCAAACATTGGAAATCTGCGTAAAAATGGGCAACTTTCCCCGGAGCATCCTCAGTGGAATGACGGGAATGGCCTTTGTCCGCGCCTCGACGAGCACAAATAACGCCAATAAAAGCACACTACCCACGAGCGTGCCGATGACGATGGGACTACCCCACGGAAGCTCGTTGCCGCCCAAGCTCAGGCCGACGAGCTGCACGGAGATGGCTACAACCAGAAGCAGTGCTCCAGAAACGTCCACCCTCGACCATATGGCCCTCCAGTCGTTGGTGTCAATATCGAACCCGCCCTCGGGGTTCTTGATCACCAGGGCCCCTAGAGTAAGTGCCATGATGGAGACGGGCACCTGCAGCAAGAAGCACCAGCGCCAGCCGATGTGGTCAGCAATGGAGCCACCAAACGAAGCACCAGCCACGGCGCCGAAGCCGAACATGCCGTTCTGGAGGGCCTGGTACATGCCTCTCTTGCGGAAGGGAATCATGTCCGAGTTGACAATCGTGGCTATTTTCTCGATATCAGTCCCCCTTCAACGCAGCATTTTTTGGCAGATTTGAGAGCAAATGGACTGGTAAACTCACCCATCGTCATAAGACCACCGCCTCCAAACCCAGTCAGAGCGCGCATGCAGTTGAGAAGCACCACGTCGCCCGCCAGCCCGCAACCAAGACAGCCAAGCCCGAACGTGATACTACTAACAAAGAAACACACCCTCCGCCCGAAAATGTCAGAAAACCGCCCGTACAGCGGCTGGAACGCGGTGCTGGTGACGAGGTACGACGTCGTCAGCCAGCTCGCCGTGTTCGCGGCGTCAAACTCGGAGCTGATGACGGCGTACGTCGCCGCCGTGATGGTCCCATCAAACCCGTAGAGGAAGACGTTGGCCATAATAGCCAGCTCGATCCAGAGGAACCCTCGTGGCGGCTTCCATGACTCGCCGGCCTCGATGGCGGCGGCTGGGTCGCGGAGGAGCGGTTGGTCTTCGCGAGGCGTGGCCACGGTGGCGGTGGTGGTTTCTGAGTCCGGGTCGGAGTAGTACGGGGGCGGCGGTGATGCCGGGTTCGGAGGGTTGGCTCGTGCTCTGCCGACTTCATCGTCTGAGAAGCGGGGCCGGGAGCGCGGGCTGCTCATGGTGTGTGCCGGTTGGTTGACTTGAATGGAACTCTGTTAGGAAGGTTTGTTGGAAATGCTGCTTTACTTGATTTGGAGAGTAGCCGGGATTGGATGGAATGCTTCCAGGAACATGAAACAATGTGATTGACTGTGGGGGGGATCGGTCGCTGGCAGGATCGGGAAATCTCAAGCAAAGAGCAATGAGAGAAAGTTCAGAAAGCAGCAAACCCGCCGTGACCTTCTTGCAATCCCAAGTGTACTTCAATTGCTAAGTCCAGTCTGCAGTGCCAGGGTATGTTGGGATGACGGCAAGCGTGAATTCGCCATGGAGAAATTTCTGCAGTTTCATGACTCCCTGCCGATGGAGAACCGGCGTGCAAGGTCCGGATAATGTCCGTCGCGCGCATCCTGTCAGTGGGGGGCTACCGGGTGCCGGATCGGGTCGACCAACGTCAACGAGATTCCTACCCTGGAGTCGGTAGTGGATGAATGTATTGCACCATTGACACGCAAAGCACGCAATCATGTATGGAGCTTGACATTCTTCATGGGCTCTTGGTTCCATTTACATGCCTGATGCCATTCAACGGTACTAAGAAAAACCCGACTGTCTCCACTGACGAAGAACCGTAGCCGGCCCCGAACGATCAGAGACGTCCATCAGGGCAACATCTCTGACTGGCCTCTCGGAGGTTTCTAAGCTACCTACCTAGGTAAGAGCTACAGCCACCTATAGAGACATTGATCCAAAAGCTGTCTTTGGCCCTAACGGACTGCCTTGGTAAGTCATCACGGCTATCAGGCCAAATGAAATAGGCAGGCTTCACATGGCTTGTCAAATGATTCATACCAAACACAGCATCTGGCAAAAGTCTCCTCACCTCAAGGACTGTGCATGAAACTTCGCGACACTTACCAACAGACGGCACTGGGAACCCAAACAGTTCACCACCCCTGGACGATAGCAGTCTCTTGGAGCAGTCGTAACCCTAAATCCAAGAAAGAACCACGGAAAGAGGCACATGGTCTATCACAGCCTTCTGAAGAGGCCCTTTGCCCCCAGAGAAGGTTGGTCCTCCCACCATAAGATTCCATACTCCGGGGCCAACACGTAGGGAAGTGAAGAAGTTGCGTTTATTGACAGAGCCAGAGAAAGCTCAGTACTGCAACAGCTCGGGTCTTCGTCATGAAGTACGAACCATGCAGTGTACAACGTTGGCTTACAATCAGGGTCCGAGGAACTTCTCTCATAGCACCGCGGGAAGATACTTCTCGAATAAATATCCACGCAGAGCCATTTTGCCACATCAAAGCCAGACCCGTGCTGGTTCTGACCACAACAGCTGAGACTTTTTCAGCGGAATATCCGTTAATGAATTTCCCAGGTTTTCTCACCGCGGATAAACATCCTCAAAACCTGCCCACGAAGTCCGGGTGGTTGAGATGCTCGTCCCATCAGCCCCACGGAGGCTTAACATATGCCTCACATTAGTTAGACATGTTGGAAAGCGACCCAAGCTAGGGAGTTTATTAATTTATTTTTTCTTCGGAAAAAAAAAAAAAAAAAGCCAGGCTCTTGAAAGTATGATTTCAGACACCAGCTGACTAGACAGCTCAAGGCCGATGGCTTCTAGACGGAACTTTCGGATTTGATGAAAATTGCCATGGTATTAAAAGCTGGCTCAGCGTTTAGTCCTGAGAGCCTCAGAGCCAGAAAAAGTGGAACGTGCGCCAGACTGTCGGAAATCTCGCTTACATAACACTGACCCACGTCACCTGACAAATAAAATCGCAGCCGCCGCAGAATTTTTCAAGATCGCTTCCCTCTCGTCCAACACCAAGAAAACCAACATATGCCGACAACTCTGGAGGATCAGACGCGCGAGCAGAGGAATTATCCAACGAACCACCAAGAAAGTCTTAGTCTGGCTACTTGTGGCTTTAAAGGTTGAAAACAATCTGTAGGCGCCGTCTGATCCTCTAGCACCACTGAAGGTATGAAAATTCTTTTTTCTTCATGCACACTGTTCCCCATCGTCTTAAAGATGATTTGGATTAATCTCCATTTGTATTTGATATCTTATTAAATGATTTTTATTCACACTGAAAATTCTGAAACGACATTACTTGTTACCTTTTTGTTTGCTCAGTTCTCGATGTATACAGTCGGCTAACAAGACGGTCAGGTTTGCCTGCAATCTACATTTCCAGTTGAGGCCCTGAGTGTTGGATTGGCTGGATTTTTTGATACCATGGTTATAGTTGATTATCATGCCAATACATCTTTTTCATCAAATCGATTCTGTTCCACGCGTGGTGACCTAGTTCGATGCTCGTAGCAAAAGGCTCCATTAACCTTGAATACGTGAATCGTGCTTGGCAGAGTTCCAGTCAACTGCTGCCCGGGACGTCGGTGATCCCCGGGAGGCGCGGCGATGCAGGCCGTGGAGCCCCATCTCTGATGGAATGCCTCCGGGCCAATGGTGAACCTGCTACGACGACAAGCCGCGACAGGACGCGGGCAGGCGGGCACTCGCGCGGCTCTGCGCCTCCAGCAAGCTCCATCCTCCGGGCCTTGGGAGGCTTGGGAGGCCTCGGGATCTCTGGAAACTCCGTACTTCATAGGGACAAAGACGGCGAGCGAGCAGTTCGTTGCCGCACGCGTGGGCGGTGCAGATGAGCCACTGAGAGGAGGGGGGTTTTCCTGCAGGTCATGGTCAAGTGCCGGTTTAGCCTGGTTGGAAGGGACCAATGTCGATGAGGTTTCCCGATGGCACACTGGCCTTGGAAGAACACTCTTAATGCAGCAAATTAAGGAAGCATTCCCTGGAAGCAGATCCGGGGGAAACTAATCGGTTTCCCTTCCAGAGTCCCAGTAGTGTTCGCAGAGTCAAAGAAAGTTGGAACTTGGCAGTGGGCGCCATGTCGTGGCAGATAAGCAGGGCCCATCCCAACACGCCGATTTCTTTCTCCCGCGAAACAATTAATTAAATGATGACAGAGTTGGCGATGGAGTTTTGGGCTCTCTGGTGACTTGTAAGGTAGCGACTAGAAAGTGTCTTGGGCAACCTCGTCTCCATCGACCACGAGGCCAGACCAGGGCCAATGTGGGGGCATTTCTCGCTGGGAGTGTTTCTTCGCGCTTCCCGAGAGATTCCAGCCTCCAGAATATGGCCTAGCAGCACATAGTGCAGGGGAACGATGGGATTGGGCGCAACTGTAATTGCCTACCTGTGCCATGACGACACCAGGCTGCGATGATGCGGGGCAGAAGCTTCCAGGGTTCAAACGGTGAGTGATGGACGCGATGCATCTTTGAAGTCTTGCGCCACGGACGCCGTCTGATCTGTCAAGAATGTCAAGAATGCTAGCTTGGCCTCTCCCGAGGGTTAAACAATACCTTAACACATAGCCTCCGCGTGGATGGTTGCGTGACGACTCGTTTGTCCGTTTCCGCGCCTGCTGCGCAAACCCGGCTCAAACCGCCTCAGGGGCTGCGCGCGCTTTCTCGCACCTCTTCACCTTCTCCTGAACTGTCCTCCTCTTGAAATGTGTCCGCGGGGTATCTTTGTCTTCTTGAAAGCTGACCAGCTGTCTCGGGTGACAAGGATGAGGGGCGGATGACAAGGCCGCCCGGGGATGTCACGGCCTGTCATTGTACTGAGCCACCCACCCTCCTAGCTTCGGATGGCGTGCCGCACCAAATCTGCCTGGTCACAAGGCTGCCTTGCGCCGTGATCCCTCGATTTCTTGGTACACTTATGTTTTTGTTGAGGAGGAGCGATGTTCTCACTGATGTTGGAAGAACTTGTCGCTTCGTGTCTCGCTCGTAGTTAGTAGACTGGCGACTGACGAGTTCCTGATGCTTTTTTTTCTTTCTTTTTCGTGGGGTTGGCTTCCGGGTCGCAGTGGCCAGTGTAAATGACGTAAGAGCGTTGATAGACATCGCTAGCCCCTCGGCAAGCTTTCGATAGTAGGTAGGCCTGGAGCGAGCATATCGTAGTTCCGAGTCGCAGACTGTCGAGATGTATAGGTAAGGTAGGCTGCCTGGAAATGGATAGGTACTATCAAAAAATTAGAAAAAGGCACTTCATTGGGGTTAGATGTACCTTAGGTACTTGCCTCCCATCCTTTGTGCCCTGGTCGAGTCCAAACGCTCTGGAGACTGGATGGATATACATAGTAGTAAGTAGCGTGGGCGGTCGAGGGTCAGAATGTGATGGTGACATGGGACACCCTTCGACAATCCGTGGCTCGCTGCACATGAGTACTGCAATAGCAGTTCCTTTCCGTCCGCTGACCTTGGCCGGGCCGCCTAGAGTCTTCGCAAGTCGTGGCCTGGGCGGCGGGCACTGACAAGACCGGGCCCAGAAACGAGGTCTGGCTGATCCCGTCCCATCCCTCAATGTTTGGCGCCCTGGTCGGGATGGAAGGGAAAGCCTCAGGGGGATGCCTCAGAATGATCATCGAGGTCCGAAGAAGCGGGCTGCCATGGTATAGTAGAAGAGAGGTACTCCGTAGACTAGGATGTGTAGGAAGGTAAGGTAAGATTGGGAGGCATGGACATTATTACCTGCCCACCTGTCGCCCTGCCCTGATTTTGCTGTTTCTGCTTTGGCAACAGCGCTGTGTGATCCTGCCCGCTACGCAGCATTGCACTTTCCCATCTCAGCCCAACACCAACTGGACGGCCCACGGGTGACGGACGGGTCGACAGGCTGCCCCTCCATCTCTTCGCTTCCACGGTCCCTTGCCGTCCCTCCACCTCCCCTCCATTCTTTCCCCCCTCTCTCCCGTCTTCTCTCGCTCCGAACGCTCTCTCTACTCACTCACCTTTCTCTGTCCTTCTCCCGGGCACTTCCCTCTCACATCACCCACCCTTATTACGTTGGCTGGGCTGGAATCGACTGGATATTCGTCTATTGGTGTGTTCAATAGACAGATTCCCATCCTCTCACCCAACCAAAGGCGATCACAGTCCCACCAGCCTCCTAAATAAAACCAATCTACCACGTACACCCGTAAACCGAACTAGTCACTACCTGACTACACATGCACACCATTTAATCCGTGGGCTCCCCTCCGTCATCATCGCACATCCTTTGTTCAAACCCCCACCTGCCAATCTACACCATCCAGCCGAACCGTTGTCGCCCGTTTTGACATTTCTCTGCCGCTTCCCGAAAACAGCGTTGCCCTTCGACGCCCCCATCGCATTTAGCGATGGCTGGAGTTTATAGAGAAACCACTCGGGTTTACCGGGACCCGACTGACTACTCATCTGATGAAGACCGATACAAGACCTCCACAGTTCGCCGTTACAAAGTAGCACCAAACCGAGTCGAGAGGGTCGAGCGCACTGAGCGTGTCGAAGTCGAAGAAGACGACCGCCGGTCACGATACTCGGGCTACCCGCTGCGCACCTCCGGCGAGTATGGCTATGCTCCCGACCGCCCGCGCTCCGCCTTTGACTCCCGGAGTCAGGTTGTTGAGCGCACGGTAACCGAGCGTGAGCGCGAAGTTATTGACCCCTACAGAGGTGACACCCGCAGCGTCGTCTACGAAAAAGAGTACGAACGTGAACGTGAGCGCGCACCCCGCTTCGATGCCGGCCGCTTCGACGATGTTCGCAGCGTCGCCGATAATCGAAGTGTTATCGAAGTCGAGCGCGAGCGCGTTGACTGGGACCGCCGCTCTAACAAGTCTCATCGCCACCACCACCATCATCATTCACCCGAGACAGAAGTCAGAGTCGACAAGCGTGTCGAACGCCGTGAGGATGGAGACGTCACAGTCGAGAAGCGCGTTGAGGAATACCGAGACGATCATGGCGGGGCAGAGGTCGAGAGATACCGCAAGGAGACCGAGTTCTACTCTCCCGTCAGCCCCCCACCTATCCCCCAACCCGTCATCATTCGTCAGCAAGCCCCGGAGCCCCAGAAGATTATTGTTCAGGAAGCTGCACCGCCCGCGCCCATCATCGTACCCCGTCAGGAACCTGGCATCGTCGTCCTGAGAGAGCGCGAGTCCCCTCGCGAGGTTGTCCGTCGCGATCCCCGCGAAGATGAGTACTACTACCGCCGTGAGACAAAGGAGCTTGGCCCGTATCGCCGAGATGAGCGTGAGTACCACTACGACCGACGAGGCCGTGGTCGCGGCGAATACATCAGCGACGACGAGGATTACTACATGAAGCGGACTGTCATTCGCCGAAACCGAAGCTCCAGCTCAGACCATCATCACAAACGCCATCTTGCAGAGGGAGCCCTCGCTGGCGCCGGTATCGCTGCTCTCGCTGCGAGTCGAAGAGACAGCCGCGGTGAGCTTGGTGCCAACCGTGGAAGCAAAGTCCTTGCTGGTGCTGCTATCGGTGGCCTAGGCACTGAAATCATTCGACGGGCTCGTAGCGCGTATGAAGACACCTATCACGACGATCATCACTACGGGTCTCGCTCGAGATCTCGCAGTCGCAGCTCCCGCATCAAGACCGGTCTGGGAATTGCTGCCGCCGCGCTCGCTGTTGCAGGCGCCGCAAAGTATTACCAGAGTGGAAAAATCGAAAAGGAAGAAATGCATCGTGGTCGAAGCCGCGGCAGAGGCTACTCTGTTTCAAGCTACTCTGTATCTAGATCTCGTAGCCGCAGCCGCAAGAGCCGGAAGAGCCGCAGTCGCTCCGTGGCTAAGGCTGCCGCTGCGACGGCTGCCGCCGCGGGTTTGGTCCAGCACTTCCGCAACAAGTCCAAGTCCAAATCTAGGAGTAGGTCGCGGTCTAAGTCTCGCATCAGGACTGGAGCAGAGATTGCCGCCGCTGGTCTGGCAGGCGGAGTTGCTAGCAAGATCTATAAGAACCGCAAAGAGAAGAAGGACCGCGAGGTAGATCGAGAACTGGAAGAGCAGGACTACGAGGAGGAAGTCCGGCGGGAACGGCGTGAACGTCGTCGGTCGCGCAGCAGGTCCCAGGCCCGCTCTCTATATTCCGAGCCGCGCAGCGCTGATCCTGAGCTAGGCTTAGTTGAGTACGGAACAGAACCGCTGCCGACCGACCCGCCTTACCCGCCGGACGACGGGTATGAGTCTGCAGCGAACGAGAGGCGACGCCGTCGACACCGGCGTATGTCTGGCGATGATTACGACGGCCACGAGCCGGCGAAGAAGAGGAGCAAGAGCCGATTGAGAGACATGGCGGCGGCTGCAGTTGGAACGGGAGCCGCTGCGATTGGACTGAAGCAGTATCAAAAGAAGAAGGAGAAAGAGGAGGAGGAAAGACGAGAGGAGAGGCGAGAAGACAGACGGTCGAGGGAGAGAAGCGCCCGATCCCGCTCTAGAGACAGATCCGTCACACGCGAAAGGACTTACTCAAGAGAACGCGCCTACAGCAGGGAACGCAGCACAGACGACAGGATGAGGAACAGGGAAAGAGAGAGAGACCGCAGGAGTAAGGAGTCCCAAATCGAGCACACGCTAGTAACCCAGTTGAACTGACAACCATCACAGGATATGAAGAGGATGCTCGGGATGACGGGTACTACGACAACTACAGCCGTCCTCCCTCACCTCCACACGCCTCTGGCGGCTCATTCTACCCGCCACCACCAGCAGCTGCCGCGGGCTTCACCCAGCATCCCAACATTTCCACGGCCAACCTAAGAGATCAGTATCCGCCGTACCCGTCCTCGGACTCGGTGTACCCTCCGGGACCACCGCCAATGGGGCCATCTCCACCGATGGCCACAGGCGGGGCCGGCGGCTATCCTCCCCCTCCGCCTGCTGGTGGTCATCCACCTCCAGGCGGTGGCCCGCCGGGAACGAGATTTGGTCCTGACCATGTGAGTGAAGACATATCTCGTAGCTCCTCACCACAAGCTGTCCAGCCAGCCGGTCTGGGTCGTGAGGGTGGGTTGATCTAATCGTTGTTTCTTTTGTGATATTTCTTCGTTCGTGTCTACATCGGAAGCTGACCTTCAACGCAGATGGTTTAAAGTGGCGAGAGCGTGTCAAAAAGTTTCTCCCTGAGTCACTGTCTAGGTCTCGTTCCCAGTCCCAACCGCGATCTCGGTCTCGGTCCTTATCTCCTGCGTCTTCATCGGTGTCGAGCGCTTTATCCGCAAAGCGTCCTCATACGGCACAACATTCTTCCTCCAAGTCTGTTGCCTTTACTCTGTCACCCCAATCATCCCAAACCTTGCGGCTGCACCGCTCAGCCCATGAGCAGCAGGCCGAGGAAGAGGCTAGGAAAGAGGAAGAAGTACCGGCCCTCAGCGAAGAGCAACTGGCGACACTGCGGCCTGTCCTCAACCGTAGACGTTCCTCCTCGGATCCACCTAGTAGTAAATCGGTCTCCCGTCGCCGCAAGAGGGAAATCGAAACACCACCAGAATCGGAAGACGAGGTTGAGGTCCTGCCCGACCGCTTTGATACTCAGGGACGACCCGTTGGTGGTGGTGGCACTTCGGGGGCCATGCGATGGAGACAAGGGGCGTTCGAAAGCCGGCCACGAAACGGCAAAGGATTGCATTCAAGCGGGGCATGGGCTGTGGGTGGTACAGATGGCGATGTTGTGCAGAAGATTGCGAGCGACATTGAAGGCATGATCAGCGGGCAAAGCAGCTGGAAGAGTCTGCTGAAGGATGTGGTGGGAGCGGTTCAGGAAGTGCAACATGGCGGCGACTCGCGTAGGATAGAGAACAGTGACGACGATGATTATGACGACCGACGAAGGAGGCGGAGGAAGAGCAGATGACGATTTATGACCATTTCTTTGGATCTCTTATATGAATCTTGCGACGCCATGACTCGGCGCTTTTACATTCTACATTCTTAGGACCTAGACACGACATGATGTTACAGATAACGAATTTATGACGCTGGTTCGAGACACTTTTGGTAGATATCAATACATGAGCAGAGTTTAATGATTGCGCTTGGTTGACCGAGAACGCATTTAGAGGTATGAAATTTCAGACAAAAGAGCACGTATTATGTACTTTGATTGGGCCTTTCTATTTCTAGTATCACACAGTTCATCTACGGGGCATCATCTTCTCTCTCCTTGTTTTTCTTTCATCATAATTCGTCGTGCACCGGAGGCTTCTCTGGCCGTCCGCTATCCTTATGCAAGTCGACGCCGACCTTGCCCCGCCACTTTTGGAAGACGCTCCAAAACTCCTTCTCCATGCCGCTCTCCATCTGATCGGGCAGCACGACAACGTAGTCGACGTACAGGTTGCCAAACTCCGTCTTGTGGTACACGCTGTCGCCGTCCTCGTGGAAAATCGGCATGCCCTCGCCCTTGACCGTCTCGACGTGGCCCGGCTGCACGACGCCGCCCCGGTCGCGCGAGAGCCGCACGACGTGGCCGTCGAGGTGCGTCACGTTGCGCGTCCAGTCGCCCATCCACGCCTCGCGCAGCGAGAGCACCTCGGTCCAGTAGAGGTCGTTGTCCTTGCGGCGGAAAAAGGTGCCGTCGA